TTAAGCCAGATCGAGGTCCCTGCTAATAGGTCATGAGACGATGATGGGACCTGGAAGTTTTAACATGAATAATAAACTGTGGGAATAAAACCTACATAAAGAAGTAACAGAAATTTCCAAATAAAAACTAAACAATAAATAACAGAAAAATTTGTTTAATAAAAGCTAAACAAAGAAAGATCAGAGAATAGTTATAATAGAAAAAAAACACTACTGCAATCATAAGACACTTGAAGTATAGATTATAAGATTACACGTTGGTATTGGCGGCAGTTTTCAAGGAGTGACTCACTTAACCTTATAGAATGTCGAGTACGAGGCAGGTCGGGATTGTGTGTGTGTGTGTGTGTGTGTGTGTGTGTGTGTGTGTGTGTTGTGAAGGCATGGGATCTGGGTAAACACTCACCTCGTTTTCTACACACTTGAGTCTGGGGATGGTAGAAGTTATAAGGAGGTAGGTAATCACAGGTGGGGTAAGTAGGTAGGTAGGTACAGGTGAGGTGAGTAGGTAGGTAATTACAGGTGAGGTGAGGGGGTAGGTAATTAAAGGTGAGGCAAGGAGGAAGGTAATCACAGGTGAGGAAAGTAGGTGGGCAATTACAGGTGAGGCAAGGAGGTAGGTAAGGTAAGGAGGAAGGTAATCACAGGTGAGGTAAGTAGGTAGATAATAACAGGTGAAGTAAGGAGGTAGGCCATTACAGGAGAGGCAATTAGTAGGTAATTACAGGTGAGGCAAATAAGTAGATAATCACAAGGGGGGGTCAGCTAGGGTAAGGCTCCCCCGGGTCACACAGCAGGAGGTGGGGGGTCAGCTATGGTAAGGCTCCCCCCTGGCCACACAGCAGGAGGGGGAAGGTCTAAGGCCCCCTGGTCACACAGGAGGTGGGGGGCTAGGGGTGCTCCCTGGCCACACAGCAGGAGGTGGGGGTCAGCTAGGGTAAGGCTCCCCTGGTCACACAGCAGGAGGGGAAGGTCAGGTAGGGGGCTCCAGGGTCACACAGCATGAGGGGGGTCAAGGCTCCCTGGTCACACAGCAGGAGGTGGGGGGTCACAGGGGTAAGGCTCCCCCTGGCTACAGCAGGAGGTGGGGGGTCAGGTAGGGTAAGGCCCCTGGGTCACACAGCAGGAGGTGGGGGTCAGGTAGGGTAAGGTTCCCCAGTGTCACACAGCAGGGGGGGGGTAAAGGCTGTCCTCACACAGCAGGGAGGGAGGGGGAAGGTCACACAGCAGCAGGGGGAGAGGTCAGCTAGGTAAGGCCCTGGCCACACACAGCAGGAGGGGGGCAAGGGTAAGGCTCCCCCGGGTCACACAGCAGGGAGGGAGGGGGAAGGTCAGGTAGGGTAAGGCTCCCCAGTGTCACACAGCAGGGGGGGGTCAGCTAGGGTAAGGCTCCCCCGGGTCACACAGCAGGGGGAGAGGGGATCAGCTAGGGTAAGGCTCCCCGGGTCACACAACAAGAGGGGGCTCAGGTAGGGTAAGGCTCCCTCGGGTGTGTTCATAGCAAAATACGAGAGCCTCCACCTTCAGTAGCGTCGGCCAGGGAGAATTACTTTACAAATGTGAACGTTGACTGAATGTTAAGGCGGGCAGCCAGGTCCCTGCTGCCCCTGTGTTGTGTGGTGGTGTGATGACGGGGCGGTTGGTGTTGTTTGGGTGTGTGATGAACATAAGATCATATGAATGGAGGAAACTGCAGCGGGCCTATTAGCCCATACTGGGCAGTTCCATTTACACCCAACTCCTATTGCTCATATATCCATCCAACCTATGTTTGAAACTATCCAGCGTATTCGAGTTAATGATGATATTTGGTAACTTGTTCCACTCGTCCACTACTCTATTTCCAAACCAATGTTTACCTATTTCGCGCCTAAACCTGAATTTGTCTAATTTAAAACCATTGTTACGAGTTCGCTCCTGGTTGGATAGTTTGAGTACCTTTGTAATGTCCCCTTTGTTCAGCCCCGACTTCCATTTATACACCTCTTATATCGCCCCTCACTCTACGTCTCTTGAGGGAGTGCAAATTAAGATGCTTTAACCTGTCTCTGTACTCAAGGTTCCTAATGCCCGGGATTAGTCTTGTCATTCTTCTACGAATTCTTTCCAAGGATTCTATATCCATTCTGTAATACGATGACCAGAATTGAACTGCGTAATCCAAGTGAGGTCTCACAAGCGCAAGATATAATTTTAGGATGATCTCGTTAGTCTTGTAATTAACACTCCTTTGTATGAACCCAAGTACTTTATTAGCCTTGTTTTGAGCAAATACACATTGTTTACTTGGCTTAAGATTCCTATTTATCATTACTCCTAAATCTTTCTCGTAGTCGGATTTCTCATTAACCTCGTTGTTCATCTGGTATCTGGTTTCCCTGTTTACATCTCCTATACTGAGTACTTTACATTTGTCCACATTGAATTTTATCTGCCATTTTTCAGACCATTCGATTTTTTTTTTTAGATCTTCCTGTAGTTTTGCCGAGTCCTCATCAGATTTAATAACACGTCCTATTTTAGTGTCGTCAGCAAATTTACTTATGTTGCTGTCTATGCCGATATCTATGTCGTTTATGTATATAATAAATAATAATGGTCCAAGTACTGAGCCCTGGGGAACTCCACTAGTGACGTTGCTCGGGGTGGTGGTGGTGTTGTGATGTTGGTGTTGCTGTGTGGTGATGATGTAGCGTAGGTAGTCGTGGTAGTTCAGGTAGTCGTGGTAGTTCAGGTAGACGTGGTAGTGCAGGAAGTCGTAGTAGTTCAGGTAGTAGTAGTGGTAGTTAAGAAATCTGTGTGGATCTTGGCAGCTGCTCTCGCCTGATTGGTTGAGAAATAACCAACCAAGCAAATGACTTTCTCCTCTCCGACAAAACTCACCGACCAATCAGGGAGGCTCTCTCATCCCACACCCTCGTCACGTCCACCAATCAGCTCTCTCATAATTTCCTCCTTTGTGTTGAGCGCCTCCTGGTCAGTGTCAGCTCCTCTTAGTCAGATGTGATTAAAGTTTTTAGTAATAGTTTACTTTACTTGCTCGCGGTTTTTTATCTCTCTCTCTCTCTCTCTCTCTCTCTCTCTCTCTCTCTCTCTCTCTCTCTCTCGTCATTGATCTTCCAATCCACACCCTCGTATCCGCCCACTAACGACCTAATCACCCAACTAATCATTGGCAGTTGCTGATACCGCAAAGTCAGTAGTAATGATGGCTGTGAAGGGTGTGTGTGGGGGGGGGGGGACGTCTTGTAACTGATACCAAGAACGTGTGAGGGGGAGTGTGAACGGCAATACTCCCAGAGAACGTAACATCACCTCTGTATGTGTGTTAGAATGTGAGAACGTATCAACTACCCTAACCATACTAGCAAATAGTTAAGAATTACTATTGGCCAATCAAGTCTTCCCGTAAAAGTGCCGCCATTAGATCGTTCCCATCTATACATATTTTGAGTTATTAAGTAACCTAACAGGAATCACTTGCTTCCCCTATTACGAGTCATTCCTTATTATGCAGTGTTGTCAAGGAAGGTCAGTGTACACAAGTAGTTTGAGGCGTCGACAACACTGTCCCATGGGAAAGGAGGGAAGGAAAGAGGGAGATGAAGGAGAGGGAAAGAGAGAAGGGGAGGGGAGGAGGAGGAGGAGGAGAGAAGAGGGGTATTAGTCCTATGTCGATTACTGTTTAATTACACACACACACACACACACACACACACACACACACACACACACTGTATAATTTCCTTACATTACTAATATATGTCCTAAGTATAACCAGAGAGTATACCATTAATACTGTAAGCTGAGGTATATTTGGCGGTGTATTTTAAGAGAGAGAGAGAGAGAGAGAGAGAGAGAGAGAGAGAGAGAGAGAGATAGCTTTACCAGGGTCACACTCACGCCCCCGAGAGGACGATGATGTAGACGTGTATTGCATAAAATGACGTGATGAGTGTGTTCTCTCTCTCTCACTTCGTAACACCATACATATTTTACTAAATCCTCTTCATCTTCCTTCATTTTCTCACTTCTCCCTCTTCCTGTTTTTCATCCTCTTCTTTTTCTTCTTCCTTTTCTTCCACTTCTTTTTTTTCCTCTTCCTCTTCCCCCTCTTCCTTCCCCCTCACCTATCTCCTTCTTCCTCCCCGTTACCTACTATCAACCTCCCCCTTACTTTATTATTACCTATCACCCTCCTCCTTCTCTTCCTCCTACCCCTCCTCCTCCTCCTTCTCTTCCTCCTCCCCTCCTCCTCCTTCTTCCTCCCTCCTCCTCCCACCCCTCCTCCCTTTCTTCTCTTCCTCCTCCCTCCTCTTCCTCATACCCCTCCTCCTCCTACCCTCCTCCTTCTCTTCCTCCCTCCCTCCCTCTCTTCCTCATACCCCTCCTCTTCCTCATACCCCCTCTTCCTACCCCTCCTCCTCCTCCTTCTCTTCCTCCTCCCCTCCTCCTCCTACCCCTCCTCCCCCTTCTCTTCCTCCTTCCCTCCTCTTCCTCCCAGGGGCAGAAGACGTTAATGAACAACGTCTCACACTGTCGCTCAAGTTTGTTAAAGTTACCCAGATGGACTTGGGTTTATTTCCCTTCTCGATCTGTCTGCCTTACTACCTGGTTATCGTTCGCCTTGTTTATTTTTCTACCTTTCTACCTGGTTATCTTTCTACCTTGGTATTTTTCTACCTTCCTACTTGGTTATCTTTCTACCTGATTAACTTTCTTCCTGGTTATCTTTCTAATCTTTCTACCCTTCTACTTGGTTATCTTTCTACTTGTTTATCTTTCTACATGTTACTGTTCATCCACTCTACTTACCTGGTTACCTTTCTTCATAACTGCAAGTCTACTATTCTACTTGACTCAATGTCTTTTATTCTACCCATCTTGTTACCTCATCGTTCTAAAAGTTCCAACATTATCTCTCATCTTTTATTTATCACCATGAACGTTGTCCTTCTAAATATCTGTTAACATAGTTGCCACATTAAAGAACTCTGTTACATCTGTTGACACTCCTCCTCCTCGTCAGGTATGGAGGCTCTGGAGACAGCGCTGGGGTTCTGGGAGGACGCCCTGGCAGCCTACACAGCGGGAGTGACTGGGGGTGTGGCTCTCACGTCGCAGGAGGAGGCCGAGTTTACCGCCCTACTGCAGAGGGTCATCGACGACGCCTACACTCTCCAGGACCAGTGTGAACACCTCTTCCTCCACCAGGTACCTCCTCCTTCTCCAGGTACCTTCCCTTCCAATATCTCCTCCTCCTCCATCAGGTACCTCCTCTTCCATCAGGTATCTCCTCCAGGTACCCCAGTCGCCTTATATATATATTCAATTATTTATTTACTGTTCACAGGATAGTCAAAATACTTGGCTGCCTAGTCCAATGGTCCTTAGTCATGATAATCCTTTACATAACCTAATCTAACCTAACCCAATCACCAGCAGTGGAACCTCAGCCTTAATGGGTCTCTGTATTAGTGAGTCTCTATTGTAATGGTTCCCAGGACTTTGATGAGTATTTATTCATTAAATTGTCATATAAGTTTACAGTTGGTTTAGCATATACAGTATATATAGACAGTGCGGGTATACAACTTAGATTGTGCAGACAAACTATCAGTGTACCGAGACATTGTAGTCATACAATGTACCTAGACAATGCAGACATACAAACAATGTGCCTAGACAGTACAGACATACAATGATAAACAGTAAGGCAATTCAAACAAGGGTAGCCCAACAAAGCCATCAGCTGGGTCTTGCTAGAACTAGGGTCTATTTGAGCTGTGACCAATGTGTGTGTCCCGCAGCATTCTGTGTTGTTCCGGTCATCGAGTGTGACCCCCGTGCCCTCCGAGGTTGCCGCTGACTTGTTCGAGAGACGGACCCTCACCTCTGCTTCCTCCTACGAGTCCTTCGTTTCCGCCTCCGGTGATGTGAGTGCCTCCTGTTGTCTGCAGTACTACATATAGTTATTTATTGCTAATGTTTATGAATAATATGTTTCAATGGCGTTAGGAGCAGAGTGTTTGCATAAATTAAGTATTCTTTGGTGTCCCTCCTTTGGACGTTCTCAGTCAATTGGTAGTGTTTGGTGTATCTCGTCTCGGGGAGTCTCCAAGATAAACCAGACGATATTACAAGTGAGGGAGATTAGGGAACACTACACTTATGAAAAATCTAGTGAGATTAATCCCCCTTCCCCTCCTCCTCCTCTAGGCAAAGCATCTCCAGCTGGTGCATCAAGCAGGAGTATCCTGGCATAATCCCATGCTGGTATTCCATCACAAGGCTGCACTGCTTCTGTTGTAGATGGTCCGTCATGGCATTATGCAGTACTGTATACCATATAATGCCAATGCAGGTCAATCTCACTGGCCTGTAATCATTTGTGTAGTGGCGTTAAGTAAACAGTGATGTATATTTGGTTCCCCAGATCAAGTTAGGTCAGGTCAGGTCAATATGTCAAATATCAGTATCTGTACAAACTATATATCACTATATATTTCATTCTACAGGTCACATTAGATTAGATGAAGTTAGTATTTTAAGTACTGTACTGTATGTATAAACTGTATGGTAATGTGTGTGTTTCCTCAGATTGCGGACTTGCGTGACCTAGAGGAGTTTGATGAGGCACTGTACCCTCTGTACCAGGCGGCTCTCAAGCAACACGAAGACGGCGGCATTCCTTACAGGTGCCTCTACGTTTTGTCTATAGCCTCATACTCCTTACATGATTCTGCACCCTAATTTAATATGTTCTACACCATGCCTAGACTCTACCTTACACAAACAAGATCACCTTCTCTTTATTGCACTTTTATATGATAAATTTACATACAGTATTGTAATTTAGATCAACTCAATCCCCATTTGCTTTTAACATTTTATTAAAGTAAGCAATAATCGTTAGCATATACAGTATTTTTGTTGTGTAGCTTTATTTTTTACATTTAGGTTATAAAGGCTTATTATTATTATTATTATTATTATTATTATTATTATTATTATTCCCACACCACACCACCAACCACCACCACCACTGCACACCACCACCACCACCACCGCCTGCCCACCGCTCATTATTATTATTATTATTAATATTATTATTATTATTATTATTATTATTGTTATTGTTATTATTATTATTATTATTATTATTATTATTATTATTATTATTATTACTACAGGTACTACTGCAAGTCCTTCCTTACCCACTGTGCTGCAAGGTGGCTGGATTCAAGAGCAAAAACAGATCCTCCTTTAACTTGCCTTTATCCATTTACACTAACTGTCATGACACTTCATTAACCATTTGACACCACACACTTTTGTCATTCATGTACTCTGATGGTTCGTGTTTTACACTTTTTATTGAATTTTGGCATTGTTCGTTTAGTACTGTGAATCACGGTGTTGGAATGGACTCTTGGGGAAGGAAATGATGACAACCATGTGATACAGTGTTTTAAAGGATATATTTCTTGAGTGTTTCTCCTGTAAGTGTAGAAATTATGGAAAACATGTGTTGTGATGGCCTCAGTTCCTTCTCTGTTTTTGGGACACCTTCATGCCAAGGCTTGTTCTTATGGAATCTACTACCATGAAGGTGAAGGAATGTTACAGGTAGTATTTTTTTTATATTTCAAACACACCAGTTACGCACTGTTTGTGGGCTTTATGTCATCTTCATCATTTACTCAATCACAACTGGAATCTTCAGCTCAATCCATCGCTCAAATAAAAAATAATAATCCTAAGGAATACCTACATTTAATAGTACCCCCTTGCATCAATTAGCCCATTAATTTAGTTAACTATTTTTTTATTTGGTCACCTGTACACTTGATAATGTACACACAGTTCAGCACACACACACACACACACTAGATATTTCAAAGAGATTCATTCCAAATTTTAATTTTGTTTTACAGAGATGTTCGCACTGATCGTGTAAGATGTGCTAATGATGTGGAGTATGTATGTAAGGTTCACTGTATCCGTCTTGCTTGTCAGCTGCTGTTCTCACAAGAAGGAACTAAACAATTTTTTGCCGATTCTGGCAGACAGATCATTGCTGACCTTCTTGTTCGAGCAGATAAGGTAAGTACTGTACCTATACCTGTATTCAATGAGAACAAGTATATTTAATGTGTTGCTAATTACCTCAGGACAAATTATGTCACATTGTATTAAAAAAACTATATACTGCACTGTACAGTATTTGTGGCTATTATCAAACATTTCAATTATAATAACTTCTCTTGTGTAATCGTTCAAAGAGATAAGAATAATTTTGAGATTATAGTATGTGATTAGCTATACTGTAACAAGAAATGAGGCTGAGTACAACATTTAATATATTCATATACAGTAATGTATAATTTGCAGGACCCGAAGGACGTAGTACTGGCATATGACGCCATGCTGGAGTTTCTCACTAACTGTGAATGGCCAGATGTGGAGTTGGAGCTTCAGGGGCGTGGTGTTAAAGCTCTCACATTTTATGATGTCGTCCTTGACTTTATCTTAATGGACGCCTTTGATGACCTTGAAAATCCTCCTTCTTCTGTAACTGCTGTAGTACAAAACAGATGGCTCTCAAATGGATTCAAAGAATCTGTAAGTTCACTTTTTAGTACAGTATTTTAGAGCTCTGTCGAGCTGGTTATTCAGAGTGTACAATATTCCATATTTTACACAACATGGGTTGGCAGTGTTGGCCAAACACTTAACCCTTTGTTGGTGCAACCTCAGTTTTTACTTGGCTAGTGCTGTTGGATGAGATAAACCCCAATCGTTTTTTTTTTTACCATTTCTATTGTTGTTTTTTTATCTTACATGTGTTTTTGCACACTTCATTTCTCACATAAGGCTTTTACTATATTATTTGACAAAGAAGCACAATTATTTATACTGTACAGTAGGCTCTCGCCAATAACGACTTCCACAATAACGTTTCCGACAATTACGGTAAGTTACAATAGATACCCATTTTCGATAATAACGTCTGGATTCTCTTGAATAACGGAAATTTCGCGGGAAGCGTCCGAGCTCATCAATGATAGCGTTTGTTTGTCGCCGTGTTGATGACGTAGTTGTCCACTCCGCCTCACTCTCACTCTCACACACGTTCAGTGGAATACAGCGCTGCGCCCACGTGTGAGATTTTCGCCACTATAACCAGTGGTTGTTAGGGTCAGCGATCAATATTGGCTAACGCATTTTTGCCTGTGGGGACTAGGGGAGGTGGTGGAGGGAGTGATTTGCCACCTGAATGACGGGGAACTTTTAAAGTGAGGAAATTGAACTGTCCTGAGTCTACAGTGCGAAATATTAAGAGGAACTTAGAGGAGACCAAGAAGAGTATTGTGCTGGCTAAAAATATTTCAGTAGTGATGGAAATGCGAGGCGAGCTATGAATGATAAAGGCGGTAGAAACAGGTTGTTAGTGATAACAGAGCATTTTCTTGTGAAATGGTTAACTTGTAGAATGAAAGACAGTGCAAGTGTTAGTGACCCTCAGATATGGAACAACCATCACACCAAGCACCTCAAAAACTCCCCCAAGCTAAGTGTTATATTACTCAAACTCTTTATTTTGATGATTGAATAACAATTCTTTTTATTTCAGCTAACAAAAAGTGTTAGGAGGGCTTCAAGGGGAAAAAATGGCTGAAATTCTTGTGGCGGCAGCACCAATAAACCCTTTTTACATGTATTTTAATGTCACACAAATAACGTTTTCGCTAATAACGGTGTTTTTCAGGCACCTATTAAATGTTATTGGTGAGAGCCTACTGTGTGTATATATATATATATATATACATACAGTAATACCCCGCTTTATGCAGTCAATTGAACCCACGGAGGCCCGCGTAAATGGACCAACAGAACATATGGGATTAATTGAAATAGAGACTGGGCCAACCCCCAAACTCCATTTTTTCCCAACACAATACGTAGGTTTTAATATAAATAACATCTTAACTTTATAATGGTATGCACGCACACATAATATAGAAGAGAAATATCAATAAGAGAATAATATACTGTACCAAGTAAAAGAAAAATCGAGGTTTAACACTTACGTCAGGTTAGGTTAGAAAAAATCAATGTTTAACACTTGCATAAGGTTAGGTTATGTTAGGAAAAATCAAGGTTAGGTTTAACACTTACGTTAGTAGAAGAGATGGGTTGGCGTACGGGAATGGAGGCTGGTTCCGAGGCAGAGGGCAGGCTACTGGCCCTCAGGTGAGTCACCATCACTGTCATCCACACTTGTCAGGGCCTCCCTGACAAATCCCTCAAAGTCACCATCACTGTCTCTGTCACTATCACTGGCTTGGGCTGGCTGTGGTGGGTTGCGGGCGAAGAACTCGGTAATGCTTTGTTGACGGCTAGTGTTGATGTTGTCGTGATACACCTTGATGTACGGCTCCATAGTCTGCAACAGCTGGGTAGTGAAGACTTCATACCGGTTATCGTTAGTGTCATTGGAAAGGAGGAGCTTCAGTTTCTCTACACACTCGATGGCACCCCTAACATTACCATGCGTTAACTTGTGTTCTTCTCGGGATGACGCACTACCTGTCTCTTCACTGATGTGATCGTCTTCTAACATCTCGTCGGCAGTCACCTCAGGATCCCGTATCACCTCCATAATGTTGTCGTTGGTGGTCTCAGAGAAGCCTGCAGCTGTAACACTCTGCACAGCTTCTCTGGCAAGGTCCACTGCTACTGCGACAGTCTGAACCCAGGGCCGGATTTACCAATAGGCCAAGTAGGCCATTGGCCTAGGGCCCACCGGTATCTGGGGGCCCACTGAAACTAATTTGTCGCGCAGCGTGCCAGCGTATGACCTTGCTTCAAGTGTACACCGAGTATTTCATTATATAATATATTCACAACCATAAAGGGCCCCTGTACAATAAGTATAGGGCCCGGAGTATGGGGCCCCTGTACAATAAGTATAGGCCCGCAGTGGTCTTCAACTGGTGGGCCATGGGGTGGTTCTCAGGTGGGCCATGGACTAGGCCCTATAGTAAAATGAAGAAAATAAGATAAAATACGATAATAAAAAAATATATGTATACATTTTTTAAATGTCCGTGTCCCACCATCGATATATCTATCTATCTATTTATCTATCTATCTATCTATACATACATATATACTGGAGAGAGAGAGAGAGAGAGAGAGAGAGAGAGAGAGAGAGAATATAGTTCAAGAAACCTTGACGTGTGAAGGACAGGATCGTTTCACGTTCAGTACATGTCAGGGCTACCTTTGGTTTGCTGACAGCTCGCTCAGCCAGTCAGTATCTTCTCAGCCTCAGCTCAGAGTGAATGCCTACTCAAAAATAAAGAAGCTGTTTAGCTTCTTAACGGAGTTTGACAGTATGAAATGTGATGATCTCAAAGCCCAACTGGAATTGGTTGTGAGTACCTATTCCAGTGACCTGGAAGCATCTGTTCGAGATGAGTTTTTTGCAATTTAAAGACATTTTGTCTTCTGAATCTGACAGGTCAGTGACAAACATCTCCACTTTGCTGAGGTCCAAAGATGGTATTTTGACAACTGCCTTTCCAAACATTAGTATCTTGGTAAGAATTTTCCTTACCATCCCCATTATAAATTGTGAAGGAGAGAGGTCTTTCTCTACTCTATCTAGGGTGAAAAATCACCTGAGGTCTACCATGGGACAAACCAGATTAAACTCACTTTAATTATTATGCATTGAATCTGCCCTCCTACAATCCCTTGACACAAACAGTATCATTGACAAATTTTCCATGAAAAAAAAGTAGGAAGAATTTATTTTGAAGCACACAGTTTGCTGTACTTGATGTGCTTGCAAAATTGATTATGCTTCAAGTTAATTGTATTTCTTTCATTATTCCCATACATAAGATGTACATGATATAGAACTAATTTGATTAAAAGTAATGATGTGTCACATTGTGTTGAAATTCTTATTTTTTACATTATAATATTATGATATTATGGAATATTTGATGACATTTGGCCATTGCAAAATAATTACAGCAAAATATATATACCCTGTGTATATATATATATATATATATATATATATATATATATATATATATATATATATATATATATATATATATATATATATATATATATATATATATATATATATATATATATATATATATATTGAAATATGCAAACATTTCTATAAATTTGGGGGCCCACTGATGAGTTTGGCCTGGGGCCCACAAGTAGGTAAATCCGGCCCTGAGCTCAGTACATTATCATGTTACAGTACTATACAGTATTTGGATGTAAAGTGTATACTGTACTGGTAATTATTGTGTTTAACTTAAAGCAATCAATCCGATATATCTTTTTAGCTTCACTTCCTACACGACTTTGTGAATTCTGAAAACTGTCAGTAGTGTGTGTTGCTGATAACATATTCAAACAACTAACAGGGTAAATAGATTATCCTGGGAAAATGCAAACAAAATTTCACAGTGAATCATTAACAACATGCAGTTTCTCAGCCTTGTCTCTCAAGTATAGTACTGTACAATAGTTTAACAGAAATAGCATCGACTTTGTTCAAAATCTCAGTGTAGGTACTCCTAAACATGCTGATTAAGGATCTGTTGACCAAAATTTGATATCTGGATTATTACTTGTTCAAATGGCTTTTAGATAATTTTAATTAATTTTGCAAGTCATTTGAATAAGTAATAATATCAAATTTTGGTCAACAGATCCTTAATCAGCATGTTCAGGAGTACCTATACTGAGATTTTGACAAAATCTATTTTTTGGCCGAAAATGACAAAAATTGTAAGTCTTATGCCTTACAGAATTTTTGGCCAAAAATACTTTTTCTCTTGTGGGGTTTTGGGTTGTTTGGTTCACACTCAGGATGGGATGGAGAAAGGAAACTCACAATGTGCTCTCTGTATACATGTATTGGATGTACAATGCAGCTTGGTGCTGGGAAGGCAGCATGGTTACAAGCGTGATGTAGAGAGAGCTGGTTGGTGAGGATGCTCAGAGGAGGACAGCTTGTGGGTCGTCATGTTCGCTGGCTGGAGCGAGGGCCGCCAGGCAGCGGCGGAGGAGGAGGTGTAGCTTGCTGCGGTTGTAGCTAGAAGAAGAGAGAGGTCACCACGAGGTCAGGTCTTAAATAGCGGGGGTAGGCGTGGCTTAGTAGTTGACCTCCGTGATGTATGGCAGCGCTGGTTGACCCAGACCACGAGGCATACACTGAGGAATTCGCGGGGTCTGCTATTCAGCGACAAACAGCGTTTGTAGGGGAGAAATCCACTACAATACTCCCCCTTCCCTCCAGGCGGTGTAGGAGACTTGTTGTCTGCAGGGGTGCATGGCACATGTGAGGCAGAACTGGCGGTGCATGCCACATGTGAGCCATAACGGCGATGGCGTGGATGAGCCGGCTGCTAGAGGATAGAGGAAACAACTGTCTAGATACACAATATCTGAGGGAGTAGAGAGGGAGAAAAAGGATATGTGGAGGCGATGAATGTTGTGCTTCCCTCACGGCAGGTACAAAGTCATCAGACGCGCCTGCTGGGGTGTGTGGGCCTGGGTCAGGAGCAGGGTCTGCGTCAGCAGAAGCGGATGAGGGCTCGTGACAGCAGCTGGGTCCACAACAGCAGCAGGGTGCAGGACAGTAGCAGGGAGTACCTGAGGGAGAAAAGAGGCGCATGGGCCGCGTCGGGAGCAGGGGCTGCATCAGGAGGAGCGGCAGGGGGTACTGCTGGGCCGGGGGCGGCGTCTGAGGCAGGACGGGTGTGCTGGGGTCGGTAGGATGTGGTGCTTGGGGCAGGAAGAGGAGCTGGTGTCTGCTTAGAGAAGCAGTGCTGCTCTAGGGTGTCTAACCTGCGGTTGAGAGACAGTAGCTGTAGAGCCGATGAGAGCTGCTTCTGGGTGGATAAGCCAGTCTTCCATTTTGCTTGAAGACTGGGAGCGTGATCTGTTTCTCCTCCATCCTGTGTGAGTGCGAATCTCCGGGGGTCACCATTTGTGGGGTACGTTATGTTTGGGTTCACCCTCAGTATGGTTAGAGAAAGGAAACTCACAATGTGCTCTCTGTATACATGTTATATTGGATGTACAATGCAGCTTGGTGCTGGGAAGTGGCAGCGTGGTTACAAGCGTGATGTAGAGAGAGCTGGTTGGTGAGGGTGCTAAGAGGAGGACAGCTTGTGGGTCTCCATGCTCGCCGGCGGGAGCGAGGGCCGCCAGGCAGCGGCGGAGGAGGAGGAGGTGTTGCTTGCTGGTTGGTGTAGGTAGAAAGAGAGAGCTAGTTGGTGAGGATGCTCAGAGGAGGACAGCTTGTGGGTCGCCATGCTCGCCAGCGGAAGCGAGGGCCGCCAGGCAGCGGCGGAGGAGGAGGTGTAGCTTGCTGCGGCTGTAGCTAGAAGAAGAGAGAGGTCACCACGAGGTCAGGTCTTAAATAGCGGGGGTAGGCGTGGCTTAGTAGTTGACCTCCGTGATGTATGGCGGCGCTGGTTGATCCAGACCACGAGGCATACACTGGGGAATTCGCGGGGTCGGCTACTCAGCGACAAACAGCGTTTGTAGGGGAGAAATCCACTACAGTACTACCGCCGGGGAAGATATTGGAAGCATAATGTGTTGTCTAATGGTAGACCCTGCTGCCATATCGCACCACAAAAATTGTGACCAAGTCCCAGATTGCTGATCTGATTTTCTGCCTCATTTACTCACAATTGCAGGGACTCAATTATTTTTCTTACTCTTGACAACACAACCTAAATACTGTACTGTATCGTTTCTCACTTTTGATTTATTTTTCAATTTTGTATTTCTATATGGTTATTATTACATTATTATTATTATTTTATTTTTGTTATAATTTTTATTTATTTTTATTAATTTGTATTTATTATTATCGCTGTATTATCATTATTATTATTGCGGTATTATTATTATTATTATTATTATTATTATTATTATTATTATTATTATTATTTTTATTATTATTATTATTATTATTATTATTATAATAATAATGATGATAATAATAATAGTATTCCCCCCCACCCCCTCCCCAGGCCCTCATGTGGGTCAGGGACCTGTGCCCGGGTGGGCCAATCCCCATAAAAAAATAATTAAATAAAAATAAATGTGTGATGGAGCTTACATAATATTTGTAGGTAATTAATTTCATAGGTATGTACAGTATGCAATTCTACATTCAGTTACTTAGTTCACACAGAGACATATACAGGTACACAATTTTAAAGTGTTTATTTCACATGAAAAACATTAGTTTTCATGTACAGTACTGTATTTAGTTCACATAGAAACATACTTTAATGCAATAGAAATATTTTAATGTAATTACTTCACAAATGAAAAATAAATGATAAATGGATAAGAAGAGCTAACATACTAAAGTTTGTGTATTTGTGGGTACCCTTTTCATATTCAATATTTACACATCCTCACTGTTTGCATTCTCATCCTCATCACCTTGAACAGAGAACTCAACACAAATCTGGATAGCATGTTCCAAGCAGATGGGTTTGCAGCACTTCTGACATCTGTTTCTTGTCTTATGATTCTTTGACCTGGAGCACAATGAACACCTTTGTAGGGAATTTTCACAATGGCATTTTGGAGGTAATTCCTCAGATGTTGAGAAGCATTGGGTCTTCCTTTTCAAGTCTTTTTCTCAAACTCGTTTGTCTTTCAATGGTTCTTATGTCCTTCAACCAATTCCAATCCTAATTTCTTCAGAAAGTATTGGGACCTGATGATGGTTCAAGAGTTGGCCGTGAATATATTGAATGCATGTGTTCCTGTAACATTGAGTATAGTGTAGAAAAGTGTAAGAGGCCAGTGTCAAGTATTTCGAGAAGCATTGTACCCTATGTGGAACACAACTGATTGAAGTGTCTACCCCCCTCTTTAGTACTGTTGCACTGTCATGGTGCTTTGTGCTGAGAACAACAACGAAATGCCTTTGATTCCACTCTATCTAACAGTTGGATAAAGGCATGGAAACATCACTGTGGGTATGATATACCCTGTCACATAAGGTCATTTTATCTCCCAGTTTTAAAACTAAACCCTCAAAGATATATTGTACAGCACAGTGCAAGGTAGATACTCCTGACAATACTGTACTAAAACAATAAGTGTTGATTTTATTCCAAATAATTAAAAGAAAATTATGCAGTGACGAAGTAAGTTTCGTAGATTTGTTCATTTATTGCAAACATTTCATTCAATCTTTGTGTACTGTACAGTACCGGTACTCATAGATCACTTTTAGCTTTGTGTTTACCAAGGTTGTCTTTATTCTTTTCATCAATATAAATTGATTTATTATTGATGAAAAGTTGTAAGTTGGAGATCTGGCAGGCACAGGGGAGGTGTCTTGACCTTTGTGTGCACTGATGATAGGGGCAAGGGTGGGTACAGACCACCCTAGGCTGTAGTATGTGTTGGTGACGGCCCTAACGGCCCCCCTTTCCCCTCAAAAAATATATTACTATGAAGGAGTACTGTACCTGTTTTGACATTTATTACATTTTACAGGCACTGTCTACTGCTGTATGGAGTGTATTGAGAGCCAAACGGCGAATGCTCAAGTATCAAGATGGCTTTATTGCACATTTTTATGATGTATCTGAGCACCTCTCTCCAGTCCTCGCCTGGGGGTTTATGGGACCAGATGAAAATATCAGGGAACTCTGCACATTTTTCAAGGTGGGTGTTGTGTTGTGGTAGATTATATTAGAAACTATCGGAGAAACAGTACAATATTTATTTTACCATCCTTTCATTAATGGTGTGTTAAGTGATGGAGATGGTGAATCTTTTGGAAGGTGGACACCATACATAACTGGCTAAGATTGACTGATTATTTTCTGTATCTCCTCTTTGCAGTCATCCCTCCTGGTAAGAGAGATTTGAAATAAAAGTTTACCCTCCAAAGTACTGTATGTAAAATTTAGGTATTTCTCTTTGCTTCAGCTGCTTAAATGATTGATTTCACCTTGTGTTTCAGGACCAGATCGTTGGGTTGTTGCAAGACATGTTTAGTTTTACCACTGTACGTTACACTACGGTGGAGGAGCTGGCCACTGACATCATGACTCTGGCAACACAACGCTCTGAAACTATTTCTCAGAGACTCGGTTTATAGAGGTTACCCTTACTTCTCTTAGTATATCAACAACTCAAACTTCAAATAATTCCTGATGTTGGTGTATCTGTACAGTATACTGTATGTGTGGTGATGATTCTTATTGTTATGGAATCACCTAAAAATTCTCCCCTTGTTTATTTCAAGTGAAGACTAACCATCCTGATGCTAATTTAACCCAACCTAACCCCCTGGGCAGCACTAGAGTGGTTAATCTTAAGATGAAATATGTTAGGGGTCAAATCTTCAGGTGAACCATATTGTAATAGTACTAACAAAAGTGAATTTTCTGTAATTTTGGTAAAAAATTTGTTGATTTAATTTTTCTTAGCATCAGGAAACTAGAAAATTATTAAAAGGTTGTAGTAAGTAGTTTGTTCACAACAGGTAAATTTGCATTTATAAAAATATAAAGTAATTGAAGAAGCTAATTATTATATTATAACTTGTAGATGTGTTTCACATAATTTTATTACACAGGCAGCTACTTTGTCTGGGGTTCTTGTCATTTCCATTGTAGAAATTTATTAAACTTGGGATATTTTGGTAAATGTATAAAATGTTGAGTCAACTGTATATACTGTTTATATAAAACAAAAAGTAAGGCAGAGTTCTTACTGGTAATTTAATTTGCACAGATTTAGAGTAGGAAACTTGCACCATCTGAAGATTTGCCCCCAGCGTATTTCACCTTAAGATTAACCACCCAAATACTAACCTAACTTAATTCCCCCAGGTAGCATGTGGGTGGTCAATCATCTGGTGTAGTTAGCTGGGAGTGCTAATCTTCAGGTGATCTGGAATCTTGACTCACTTGTAATACTGTTTTGTAGAGTCACTCACTTTTGTAGAATTATTCTTAATACTGTACTACAAATGCACAATATTACCAAGGAAAATAGGGAATTTATTTAACTTTCAGTACTGTATGTGGTATGACACGTTGTACAATATTTCATTACCATAGTGTGCCGTAGGAACCATTTTTTGCCATCTTAATGGAAGTTTTCATGAATGAAAGTATCATTACAAAGGGGAAGTCTCCTTAAAATCCACAAAGCTCTGCTCTCAGTGGATTATTGATAAAACAGTGGTAGCCCTCAGGAGCGTCTTAACAAATTTAATCATCATAAAGCATTTTTAAAACTCCCTCCTTTAAGTAAGTTCACACTTCACGTTCACACTCCTTATAGTCACAAATATTGTTCACAAATAACCGCAGAGGAAAAGGTTTGTATTGTAGTACAGGGTATTTCCACAGTAGTATTTTCATCAACCAGCACAATGTAAAGCTTTAGCTCAGATATTAATTCATTTTTAAATAATAAGGTTTGATATACAGTACAGTACAGTACAGTAAACTTGACTATACCTAAGCAACATTTTATCTTGTGTCATTTGTTACCATTTTCATAGGTGTCTCCTTTACTTTTAACAACTGATATAATAGCAGCTCTGAGGGTTGTCATGGTGAATATGCAGTGTGTCTCAGAATCCGTAGACAAGACCATCAAGAAAAATGGAAGGATCCACATAGGCCACTGGCCTCCTTCTTCGGCCTGGCTGCCTCTAGTTTGGATGACAATTATGTAAAGAAGAAAGGTTGATGTTCATAGGATCGTGTGATTGCTTATAATACAACAGCAACATTGTCCTCACTTGTTGATGAGCAGAGTCTCCAACAAGGGAAGACTCTGTATATGCTATGTATGAATTTTGTAGCTCTTTCTATCCTGAGTTATATTACAGACATTAATAGTTAGAGACAAACAGATTGATGCAAGTAGCCATATTTTCCTACTCATTCACCTGTCAGTGTGAATGATTGTTGTAAGACATGAGATTAAACACATTCAGGGTTTCTCTAGTGTTAATGAGGTAGAATATCAAAAGATTATTAGATGACTCACTGTACTTTAGCTGTGGCACCGAGATGTTTATTAGAGTGTAGTTACTTTAATTTGATTTCTGAACACTATTATTTGTGGTGTATTATCAGATGAAAAAGACACAATGGAGTGAGAAAGAATGCATGTTTGTATCATCATCAGTGCTGCTTCTTTCATGAAAAATAAATTGTTTGTACAAAATACCACTGTTCCCCAACACCAAAGTTGCTTTTATTGATACATACATGAGTAGAATTTTTAACAAGATCATCAACATAAAACATTTAGAATCTCACAAAATGGTTCATCCGCACATGCCCGGTACTTGCCAACAGTGCAAACAGAGAACAGACCACTGTTCATGGCTATTCGTCACATGGGGTAACAATGTGTATTAAGCTCACATCGAAGTGAGCTTAGAGTATAGTTTATGGGTCAACCCCAACACTTCACATATGTCTGATACATTTATCCTTTTCCCAGATCATTGTTCTCACATATTTACATCTGATGCCTGAGGTAGTTATGTTTGCTAATTGTACACAGACATAACATAAATACTATAACCTTCAGACACGGTCACACTTATTCACAATAGTACACTCATCGGTACCAATTGGGTCCTCCTAATCATCATATAGATACCTTGAGTTCTCCCATTAATACTATCTGTATACATACTTGAGGTTATATGCACGGACACTGGTATAAAACAACATACAGCATACGAATTACCCCTTCCCAATGTTTACTGTTTTCTGTGACACTCCCCACTAAAAAACGTAGATATTCCCTTAGCGCGGTGAATTTGAATGTTATGTAGCTGTAATATAAATCAGAAGAGATTATAGAGACCAATACTATTGTACAACTGACCTCCCTTACAATTTCTGACAAGTTGTAGTCGGCTGCGTGCAAACCAATAATTTTGCCAGTGGCTCGCTAATCTATGTTCTTTAGCGTCCATCCTGGGCTGGGTGTGGAGCAGTAGCTAAATACCACTGCCGCCACCACCACCTCATCACCTTGCATTGATTTTTACATCTCTAATAAACTTATTACAGGTTGGACAAGTCAAATGCTATCCAACAATTCATTCTTTTTTTCTATCAATTAACAAATTTTTTTTCTATCAATTAATAGTGATTTATTTTGAAAAACATTAGTGGCAGGTCTTTTTAATACACTTGACATGAGTGCCAATTGTAATTTTCCTATTCATGCTTATATCCTAAAACAGAAACAAAAACAAAATTAATCAGGTTTGTTGATGGCATCTTAGCAGTGTACTCTTTCTACCACCTACCTTATTTTGCCATCCATATTACATTTGCCCATGATTATTTTTATGTATATCACTACTTAATCACTTCCCTGATGGTTAAATTTGATATCTATTACAGTCAAGAAAGTTAACTTTACCCACTAAACTCTAATTTAGCATCAAAGGAAAAGACATTACACTGACGAGTGACACACATGAGGGCGAGGTCTGCCCCAGTGTTGCCAGGTCTCAACCAACATTTTTCTGTAGATTGAAGCTCAATTTATAATTTTCTACTTTTTTTCCTTGCGTCGTTTGGCGTCTCCAGTGGATCAATGGTGCTCTTAGCATTTGCCCACCTATATGGCCTACCTAGGGCCGGCTCTGTATTCTATACTGTATTTGGATGACTGAAGTCTCTCATTATTATGCAGGTAATATATTCTGAAAGTGGAGCCAGTACATGCCTAATACAGTTCTGTACTTGCCAACAGTGTATAACAGAGATGTAACTGACTGCCCAAGCGGCTAACAGGTCAATCGGTGGCAAGAAATGTTAACAACTATAGTGTCTCCTGCTCTTCACTCTACATCTGATATTTTTTGACTCGTATGTAAATTTATCATATTCTCTGTTTATTTGAGGATTTTCAACTAATTTATTTCCCTACAAGAGGCAAGAACTTGCAAGGCCCTTTAAGTTTTTGACAGACAGGTACAAAATAATAATTTGAAAGTTTGAAACATGAATGTGAGAAATTTGTTGGGGACTGTTGTACATGTAAGTGAAGTCTGTGAATGAGTTGTGAGAATAATTTCATCCATGGTTTTGACAATATTAGTATTACTGGTAACAGTTGTATCAATAATATAGGTAATGGGTGCCACCAAACACCTTTGATAACACACACCATACTTAGGTCCTTGAACACAAGAATGAAACTCCTCAGTCATCACCTGGCAATATTCTTCACTGCCATAAGGACACTTTTTCACCCACAGTACAAATAATGTATTTAGAAGTGATGCAGGAACAATAATGTCATTAAGCAGTTTGATTAGAATTACAGTAGTTAAGATTTATTTATAATGAAAGTTAGATATAAACCACTATACTGTACTGTATAATATTTGCATGAGTAATTTATGGTTATGTCCCTTCAAACACTAAGCAAAGTCAGTACTTTACTGTGTACGTATCTGCAGAGACAAGGTGTTGTGGCTGAGACAAACTCCTGAATTCACTGTAAATATATTACATTCTTTAGTTAGCCAAATCCTGCCTTTCAGACATCATTCCTCTAATTTATAATGAATTTTCATATAAAAACTGTACATATTCAGCTGGGGAGATGATGTTTGAACTGTATGTACCACATTTCAAGGGAAGGAAAAGTACAGGATGTGTCTGAAAATCTGTTCTTGACCTTTTGTATCAGTATTTGTTTACCTTTTATTGTATAGTACAGTGGTCCCTCGGTTAACGAGCACAATCCGTTCTAGAAGGTTGCTCGTTAACCGAAACCATTGTTTCAATGGGTTTTTGGGTAATTGGTTCCAGCTCACCGAAAATTGCCTAAATTCAACAAAAAAGATAGAAAAGTACACTTACTTTGAGGTGTGTATGTAGAAGGCTCCTGGATGATGATGATGATGATGATGATGATGATGATGATGATGATGATGGGAATTAGAATGGGGGGGAGGAGAAGGGAGAAGAGAAGGCATTGTGGTGGAAGAGAAGTCACCCCATGGCACCATTTCACCCATAAAATTTTAGTTCACTTGGTGTAATTCAAGATTATTTTCTTTAAATCAACACTGCACTGCATTATATATTGTCAATATGTAAAATAAATTTCAAAATGACCAATAATTTCCTTGCAAACACAGAAAAAAAGCATTTAGTTGAAGAGTCTCAAGCAAGATGTTACCTCCACTGAAAAGACAGAATGACTGGTGCCTGTTTGGTGTGTTGAGAGGCTGGATGGCGCGCATAAAACTAGTTTCATTACCTTCAATTATGTTCAATAATTGTTAAAATGACTAAAAAATTTAATATTAAACTTTTAAAATTATTGAATAGTATAAACTTCTTGATATTTACTAAAATGGTAAGGGACATAAGCCCTAGAACCGATTACTGTATTGGCGGACTAATACTACAGCTGGTGGACCGCCAAATGCAAGCGAAAACATGTTGAGGTCGGCTCATAAAAAACTCGTTAATCGAGGATTGCTCGTTAACCGAAGTTAAGAATCTTATGGAAGGTAACGCGTTAACCGAAATCTCGTTAACCGAGGGACCACTGTACTGTATTGTTCTTCCTGTGTAAATCTTTTGGTGACAGAACTGTTTCCTTTCTTAGGACATGAAGTAAATTTCTTTTGGTAAGTCATTAATATTTGGTGTGGACTTGCAGCAAATATTTGTTGTATTGTTAGTTGTCCCATTAAATGTTCATTGCTTGGGTAACTACAGTATACATGTACAGTATCTGTATTGTACTGTTTTTTTATTTTCAATATGAATGTTTATCATAATGTTGACTGATGATATTTATTTATATTTTTTATTTGTTTTAAGATACCTGAACTGCATTGCAATTAAACTTTAGATAAAGTGTTGAGGGGAAAGAGATGGCCTAACATTAAAAATTTTAAAGGATTTCTTGAATTTTAATTTTAATTTTTTATACATTATTTGTCAAACATCATCAATCCTCTCTTTTATAAACACTGAGTAACAGCCTTAAGAAGAACCTGTTTGAAGGTCTCAGTCTATGTAAATGAATGAACAAATATATGCTTCCACCAACTGCCTAAACCTTGTATTAGAGTGTTAACAGAACAAATAATGATACGGTTTCTTAGTTAGTGATATGTAATTCATGTAGATGGAAATATGTTAGCTGGGCCTTGATTTATGTATGGTGGTGAGCAGCTTCTGCATGTACCATAGCAAATGGAACCTGGACACTTGTATAGTAAACTGGAGTTTACTCATGTCTTTGAATAATGAACTTACCGGTAAGTCAGTCTACCCGACATGACAGGAAGTTGTATTGTGTATAATATTTACTGTTGGTTCGACAAGTCTTTATAAATGCTAAAATAGATTATAATGGTGTATTGAAAGATTATCTACTGATTACTATAGGACTGAGGGAAGGACATGCAGTATTGTGTCGTATTGAGGGAAGGACTTCAGTATTGTGCAGGAATGAGGGAAGGACTTGCAGTGTTGTGTAGGACCTAGGGAAGGACATGTAGTGATGTTCGTAAATGAGGGAAGGACTTACTGACCTGCTAATTAGTGAGAGGAGGACTTACTGACCTGCAAATTAGTGAGAGGAGGATTTACTGACCTACTAAGGAGTGAGAGGAGGATTTATGGACCTACTAAGGAGTGAGAGGAGGATTTACGGACCTACTAAGGAGTGAGAGGAGGACTTACTGACGTACTAAGAAGTGAGAGGAGGACTTACTGACCTACTAAGGAGTGAGAGGAGGACTTACTGACCTAAGGAGTGAGATGAGGATTTGCATTGTTTAATAGGAGTGAGGGAAGGACATGCAATGTTGTGTAGTATGAGGGAAGGACTCACTGTGATGTATAGGAGTGAGAGAAGGACTCACTGTGATGTGTAGGAGTGAGGGAAGGATTCACTGTGATGTGTAGGGGTGAGGGAAGGCCTCACTGTGATGTATAAAAGTGTGGGAAGGACTCACTGTGATGTGTAGCAGTGTGGGAAGGACTCACTGAGGTGTAGGGGTAAGGGAAGGACTCACTGTGATGTGTAGGAGTGTGGGAAGGACTCACTGAGGTGTAGGGGTGAGGAAAAGACTCACTGTTAGGTGTAGGAGTGAGGGAAGGACTCGCTGTGATGTGTAGGAGTGAGGGAAGGACTCGCTGTAATGTGTAGGAGTGAGGGAAGGAGTCACTGTGTTGTGTAGTATTGAGGGAAGGACTTCAGTATTGTGTAGGAATGAGGGAAGGACTTGTAGTGTTGTGTAAGAACTAGGGAAGGACATGCAGTGATGTTCGTAAATGAGGGAAGCACTTGCTGACCTCCTAATGAATGAGAGGAGGACTTACTGACCTGCTAATTAGTGAGAGGAGGACTTACTGACCTGCTAATTAGTGAGAGGAGGATTTACTGACCTACTAAGGAGTGAGAGGAGGATTTACGGACCTACTAAGAAGTGAGAGGAGGACTTACTGACCTACTAAGGAGTGAGAGGAGGACTTACTGACCTAAGGAGTGAGAGGAGGATTTGCAGTGTTTTATAGGAGTGAGAGAAGGACATGCAATGTTGTGTAGGATAAGGGAAGGACTTGCTGTGTGTGGGAGTGAGGGTAGGATGCAATGTGTTTTGTAGGATTGAGAGAATGACTAATTGTGTTTTGTAGGAATGAAGGAAAGAAATGCAGCGTTGTTTAGTATGAGGGAAGAACTCACTGTGATGTGTAGGAGTGAGGGAAGGTCTCGCTGTGATGTGTAGGAGTGAGGGAAGGACTCACTGTGATGTGTAGGGGTGAGGGAAGGTCTCGCTGTGATGTGTAGGAGTGAGGGAAGGTCTCGCTGTGATGTGTAGGAGTGAGGAAAGGTCTCGCTGTGATGTGTAGGAGTGAGGGAAGGTCTCGCTGTGATGTGTAGGAGTGAGGGAAGGACTCACTGTGATGTGTAGGAGTGAGGGAAGGTCTCGCTGTGATGTGTAGGAGTGAGGAAAGGACTCACTGTGATGTGTAGGAGTTAGGGAAGGTCTCGCTGTGATGTGTAGGAGTGAGGAAAGGTCTCGCTGTGATGCGTAGGAGTGAGGGAAGGTCGCGCTGTGATGTGTAGGAGTGAGTGACGGACTCACTGTGATGTGTAGGAGTGTGGGAAGGACTCACTGTGAGGTGTAGGAGTGAGGGAAGGACTCACTGAGGTATTGGAGTGAGGGCACGACTCCCTGTGAGGTGTAGGTGTGAGGGAAGGACTGACTGTGAGGTGTAAAGTGAAGGGCTTCTATCTCACCAATGACGCAGACTACTGGTGATGACGTCATTGCTCTTGTGGTCTGTTCCACCATTGACGTAGACTACTAGTGGTGACGTCACTGTTGTGGTCCACCAATGGAATGCCTATGGTGACCGGCTCACTTAAAATGCAGAGAACTTGTGACAATGTTACAAGCAAGTTGTAATGATTTAATAAGAACTGAAAATTACAGTAAATTCTGAAACTAGCATCTTTTAATCTAGTGCCAGCAAGAGTAAAATAGTTCGTTATACATGTGGAAATAAAACTGAAGTACAAAATAAGTCAACAATGTCATAACATTGTTGAAGTTACGTTATTTTGTACAGTAGTTTCATCTTCATTTGTATAACAATGTTTTACTCTAGCTGGCACAGCACTGAAATAAAAGATGCCAGTTTACGAATTTACCTTCATTATCAGTTAGTTAGTTACTACGTGTTCACAACTTACTTTGTAACCCATGAATTTTTCCTCTGGACAAACTTTTGTAATTGTATTTTGTTTTTGTTTTTCAAATGTTATATTTATTAAAAATTAATTACAAGGCAGTGTATCTTCAAGGGGATAAGTGATGTTTGTGGCAACTTGGGGATGTGTGAGGCTCTTAAGAGCTATCTGTGTCTCTGGGGAGGCTGATTGATTCTCCCCTAAGATCTACATGATGCTTCTAGGGGGCTTATAAGTAGCTAGTTGTGTACAGCTAGTAAGGGCTATGTGATGATACTGAAGGCTGTCTGTCACTGCTAGGGTCAGTGATGCTGCCAAGGGCTGGGTGCCGAGGCTTGTCTGAGCCCCCTACTATAGAGATAGGCGAGACACGTCGACCAAGGTACACTGGTAGCCTTGCATGATCCAGGTTGGGTCGCCTTTATGGGACACTGTGTACACAGGTTGTAGTACCATAAGGGCAACCTAACCTAGCAGTAACCTGGTGTCAATCATAACAAATATTTGTATAGTAACTTAATGTGTCGTATAAATGAAAAAAAAAATTCTTTGTTTATAATAATCCTAATAAAAAAGTTGAAAACAAAAGGGTTCCAAAGGCAAAAATGAAAAGAGCCAATTATACTTCACGAAAAGTATAGAATCTACGTCACCGAAAAGTAGATACTTTTCGAGAAAGGAGATTATATACTTTTCGGGAAAGTAGATTATCGACTTTTGGGGAAATATTACCTAATTTTCCGAAGAAGATTATCATAGAAAACGGGAAATTTTTATCATAGAAAATGGGAAATATCTACTTTCCGAGAAAGTTGGTTATCTACTTTACCATAAAGTAGATTATCTACTTTTCGGGAAAGTAGATTATCGACTTTTCGGGGAAGTAGATTATCGACTTTTTGGTAAAATATTACCTAATTTTCTGAATTAGATTATCATAGAAAACGGGAAATTTGTATCACAGAAAATGGGAAATATCTACTTTCCGGGAAAGTTGGTTATCTACTTATCATAGAAAACGGGAAATTTTTATCATAGAAAATGGGAAATATCTACTTTCCGAGAAAGTTGGTTATCTACTTTACCATAAAGTAG